TTTTTTCTCTTTTGATATTCGAGGATTTTATGTAGAGTCCGGTATAGTTTCCCTGGACAGGGGTGTTGCTAGCTTCTTTGTATTCTGAAATTGTCGTACCTCCCTTTCACTAGGCGGCCCTACTGTGTACTTTATTTTGAATCGACCAGTGTAGTGGAACGCAGATTTGGCACTGGGCTTCCGCATTCATGACATCGACGGCTTTTCTTGGAATATATTAACTATTCGCGACTAAACAAATTTGAAAACTTTCCGGAAACAAACACAAGTGAAACCTGTAAATATCATTTCAGAACGTTATATCGGCTATTGAGATCGGTATGGGTTTCCTGGGTGGTGCTGTTTGCAACACGGTCGCACATTACCTTGTCTGCTTCACGTTGTGTTTCAATTATGCACCGCAAATGGACGTTCCCATAGACTCCATTATGATGAAAAATTAGAAACACATGTCGATTACATGTCATTATCTTACCATTTTGTCCAATTGAATGGTATCCTAACTTTCTAAACGAGCAGCTCTCTTTTTAAATGTTAATACGTCCTCGCCCAGGAATGTGTCACTAAATACCAATTATTTGATTTGTTAACTTTATGACAGAAATATGCACTTTATTCATGCTTGAGATGACGAGAGACTTACCAAACTATGTTCTGTTTATGTAAACTATAAAGAGTAAAGAGAAATGAAAGTATGGTCTGACAACCCCAGTTTTAATATGTTTAGTTTAAAAATGTATAAGTTCGATACTAATTTTAGTAGCATTGTGGATCACTTTCATGCTGTATGCAATTGTTCTACATGTAGACGCCATGTAGTTATTGTGATCTAGGGATATAAACAAAAATCATTAAATATTGCATGCAATTTTATTTATATCTCGTCTAGAGCAAACAATTGTATTCCAATTTTATTGGAATTTAAAATGTATGTTAATATCCTTAAGATCCAGGATGAGTTAGATATTTTTCACGAATCGGACTGTAACTTCCTGGATTATTTCTCCTGATTGTTCGAAAAGCTCGTGGGCCCTCCGGATGTCACAATTGTCATTTGCCTTTAAAAAAACCGTTCAGATTTAACTTCGTTACATCATAATCACGGAAAATAGGGCGGTAATTTCTCGTCAAAATGGCCCCTCCCCTTTAAGCAAATAGTGACAAAGCATACTAATGTTGTAAACTCTCTAGAATCAAAAGATCTCGGATTACTCAAAATGTGAAATATGTACAAAGTTTGTGGACCCTCCAGAACTAGGTCCCAATTGTCCGATTCAGATGAGATTTAACATTATTATATGTTAAAGGGGAAGGCCAACGACGATGCGTGAACAACATGAGATGCCTTGCTTTAAAATTTAATCCCCATAGACTTTTTCAAGGGCACTTTGAAAATACCAGTGCCACGCTCCAGTTTGGATAAGGCCTTTCTTACTTAGGCCTAATTTAAAATTATCACAATGATTTATTTTTTTCCCCAAGGGAAATACAATTGGCTACTAAATCTTCTCACAGTGTGCTTATCTCATATATGTTATATAGGTACAGTAAACTTTCATTAATATTAATTATAAGTTAATAAAAAGTGAATTTCAAATATATTTGAGTTGGGTCTTGAGTTATGCCCCCATCCTGCACAAATGACAATGGGAAACCACGTCGGAAAATCCCGACGAACTTTACCAGCCAATGCAGGGATCAAAATATGTAATACAGGTGTTTTTGGTGTAGGTTTTTATTTGTTTGGGGTAGGGGTGGGGGTCATCTAATTTATTATTTTGCCGTGATAAAATTAAACTGATGTTGTCTCCAGGATCTAAACGTATTTTTACATCTTTCCTAATACTAGAAAGGCAAGATTTTATTATTGAGATTGTACAATCATTATATTTACAGTATACTGGTGGACCGTCTCTCCAGTCAGTTTGGTATCAGAGACGCTGTAAATCCTATTTACAAAATCGATCGCAGAAAGTGTTAATAGGCAAAACAGTATCACCACCAGTACTGTTTAAACATGGTGTGCCACAAGGCTCTGTTTTGGGCCCACTGTTGTTTATGCTCTATTCTGCATCTGTATCTAACATCATTGACCGTCATTCCTGGATAAGCATGCATATGCAGATGACACTCAGATAATTGGAAGTTTCGGGATATCAGCATCTTTGCAGAAATTCGAAAACATAACTGCATGTACCAAATCGATTAAGTCATGGATGACCACTAATATGCTGAAACGTAATGACAAAACTGAGGCAGTTTTAAGAGGCACTAAACATCAGCGATCAAACATACATGAACAATCCATAACGATCGGAGACTCAGATATAGCTTTCTCTTATTTCTCCCGCGGAAATGCTTCCATCGAAAGTGGGCCCAACAGTTTAAGCCACTGAACTTACAATCGTTTTGAATAATGCCCATACGTCACTTACTATGGTAGCCTCCAAATTTAAGAATTATAATTTTAAAACGTTATACTGTAAAAATGCGGAAATTTAAAAGTTTCAATAATCTCGCTGATGGCCACAATATTTCCGATTTCAACCTGGTTGGTTTACATAGAGTAATGCTTCTTTAACCTCTTACTATAGACTTATTAATTCATTTACGAATGGAATTCTTTCCGCACAATTTAAACAAAACAATACGTGTTCACTCTTTTTTATACGCCCACATTTTCATGTGGACGTATATTGTCGTCGCCCCTGTCCGTCCGTCCACAATTGTTTGTGAACAGTCTACAGGTCACAACTTGTATCCGATTTCAACGAAACTTGAAATTTCGGTTTATCACCCTAAGATCTCGGTTCCTTTCGATATTGGCATGTATCGGACTGTAACTTCATGGATTATGGCCCCTGATTGTACGAAAAATCACGTTTTAAGCTTGTGAACACTGTAGAGGTCACAATTTTTATCCGATTTGGCTTAAACTTGAAATGTATGCTTATTGTCGTCGCCCCTGTCCACCCGTCCACAATTGTTTGTGAACAGTCTACAGGTCACAATTTTTATCCGATTTCAACGAAACTTGAAATATAGGTTTATCACCCTATGATCTCGGTTTCTTTTGATATTGGCATGTATCGGACTGTTACTTCATGGATTATGGCCCCTGATTGTACGAAAATCACGTTTTAAGCTTGTGAACACTGTAGAGGTCACAATTTTTTATCCGATTTGGTTTAAACTTGAAATGTATGCTTATAACCCAAAGATCTCGGTTCCTGTCGATGTTCGCGCATATCGGAACGTAACTTCCTGAATTATGGCCCCTGATTGTACGAAAAATCGCGTTTTTAGCTTGTGGACCCTATAGAGGTCATAATTTTTATCCGATTTAAAAAAACGTATTATTATATCACCGTTACACCCTCAGTACGACTGAGTTCGAATTTCGTGAAAATCGGCCCAAAACTGACAGACAAAATGGCCGCCATTCGTTTTCAAACAGCGTAAAAATATGGTATATCAAGGTTGTGGACCCTATAGAGGTCACAATTTTTATCCAATTTTGTTGAAACTTGAAATGTAAGTTTATAACCCAAAGATGTCAGATCCTTTCGATATTCGCGCATATCGGACCGTCAATTCCTGAATTATGGCCCCTGATTGTACGAAAAATCGCGTTTTTAGGTTTTGGACCCTATAGAGGTCATAATTTTTATCTGATTTAAAAAATCGTATTATTATATCACCGTTACACCCTAAGGACGGCTGAGTTCGAATTTCGTGAAAATCGGTCCAAAACTGACTGACAAAATGGCCGCCCCTCGTTCTCAAGTAGCGTAAACATATGGTATATCAAGGTTGTGGACCCTATAGAGGTCACAATTTTTATCCGATTTTGTTGAAACTTGAAATGTAAGTTTATAACGCAAAGATCTCGATTCCGGTCGATATTTGCGCATATCGAATTGTAATTTCCTGAATTATGGCCCTTGATTGTAGGAAAAATCATCTTTTTAGCTTGTTCTCTATCCATCTCACGAAAATGTGGGCGTATCCTGCCTGGCAGCCGCTTATTTATTAATATACTACATATACTCTGCCTGTTGTTTTAAATCTTTTATATGATTTTTACTTTATTTGTTTCTGTTTGATGACATTAGTGCCATACTAAATTACAGTTGAACAAAATGGGTCAGCCCTATTGAAAATATCTATTTCTTGGGAGGAAATATTCATACATTTAAAGCTCAATTACATTTATTATATAGAGAAAAAAACCAAAAGTTTAAATGATATTAGTATGTGGATGTGTCGGTCGTCATACTACATCAGTATATATGGCGTCATACTACTTTCAATGGGCTCATTTAACATTTTGATATCATATTGTTATGTGTTCATAATACATATAGGGTTTTAAACCAACCGTTAAGGATTTTCTTGTACATTGATTAGGCGAATGTCGGCCATTCCGGATTTTACGAATTTTTACCGCTGTCCGGTACGCAATATTTGGTAACCTTTTGGGATGTTATAAACGCAAAAATGCATAAAACGTTTTCTTGCAATTTTTTGATTGATTATATATCTTCAGTATGTGTAGATTCGGAAGCTGTATGATGTTACCCTGGCATCCTCGGGGATATTAAAATAACAGGTCTCCGGTTCGATCATACTGGTTTTCGCCGAGTTAGTACCCCGGAAGGTTCCAGTGTGGTTCCCCCTTCTCGATGTTATAGTAATGCCAGATTACAGTGTCTTCCCGACCGAGTTCAAACTAAACACGAAGGTCCCGTGTACATTTTGGCGTGCACGTCAAATAACCCTGGAAAATATTTCTCTCATAGGTCTTTAAACTCAATTTCATTTTATTACTGAAACGCCCAAACACGAACACTAATAGGCAGCCATCTTTAATTTTGTTTATTTCAGATTTGAAAGAAACATGTTATATTTATTGAAATGGTTAATAACTCTAAAGATATACAAATAATTTTAATTATTTTATTTTCATTTGTTTTATCCCAAATAAATTATTATGGGTAATCATTAAATTCTTAGCGTAATTTCAATTAATGTAACATTATACTCATGTACGTCTTGTTTATGCATTAACGGACGTTTTACAGACAAGCCGGCCGTTGGTTTTATTATCACATGGAGTATTCTTCCATTGGCCATTAGAAATAAAGAGTCTTGCACACTCTCCATCGGCGGCAACAGCACCCGTTCCTTGTCCAGAAGCCCATGGTGCGTACGTTGTAGTTTCTCCATCTTGCCACTCAAACTGATTACTTGCCGAACTGTACTTGTATGCTGAATAAAAATAATCGAGCAATTATTTCCAATGTCCAAAATAACCTCATTTACATACATAGAGAGATTCTGACGTAATATTTGGTCGTTTGGGGTGCATGTTAAACCCATCGTGATATATAATAATAAATTTTATTCGTACACTAAGTACCATAAATATAAAACTAGGTTCTCGATTAATACATAATTGATTAATTATTTCATTTAAGTTTATATATTCAGATGGTGAACAATCTCTTAAATCTATGTATTCTCGAATAGCATTTCCTATTCTCTTATCATTTTCCTTCCAGGAACTTTTATCGTGACATTTATTTACAATATTTAACAATGACTTACGTTCTAAATTTTATTTTGTTATATTATAATAATATGACAAGTAATTGATATTGTTGCACATAGTAGACTGAGTTCTCAGCAACACAGTACGTCCACATATTTGAAGACATAAATTACTGCTAGTATAATAGACTATGATAATACTTTTTAAAACGTTTATGAAGCTGAGTTTCAATTGAGAAGTCTTGGTATATAACATTCAATATTCTATTGTGTGTTCTTGGGGAAATGTTGAATGCTTTCCTAATCTGTTTTCTCCAAACTACGTAAAAGCTCTCTGATGCCCTTTGTGAAAAATCCCATAGTTGGCTCCCATACAGTGATTTTATCACTTCGTGTCAAATCATTAAGCGGCTGTACTAATTTCAAACATATTAGCATTAGACTATTGTTTGATGCTTTGCACTCCATTTGGCTATAATTCAGATAATGGTCTTTTGTGGCGTCTTCGGTTTACACAATTGTTTGTTGTATTACAAGATCAAATATTAATAGAGTAAGGGAAGTTTTAATATTGCTATTAACAAAACCGAACTTCATCCTTGTTCTCAAGTGAAGAGTGGCAACAATAAGGGGCTGCAATTCAAGTGTAGCTCTTTATAGATGCATTCAGCCGGTTAAATTAAGGAAACAACACAGTTCTTACCAAGTAATACGGCACCATTCTTTTTTGGGTTAAAGTCAGACACAAATGTTCTGACTGCTTCGTTTTCTTCCGCATTTTCGATGGAGAGAATTGACATGAATTCACTGAAATTAATTTTGAAAGCATATCTAAGAAACTATTCAATTTAGTTAAACAGGAATTCCATTTGGTTACAATATTATGTTTTATAATGTTTTGCAAATTTTTAAATTATCTCTTTGTCGACATATCGTCATCGGTATTGGCTATTCTTTCGCAACTCACTAGCGCAACTTGGAATGATGGGGAATTCGCGAAATAATAGTAATCTGGAATTATTAATATATATTATCAATATAACAGCTTAATATACTAAGAATGCATTATTTGCTCGTGTCCGCTGGAATTGGAGTCCGCTATAACTTGTATGACGAATCTTAAAACTCAAATTTTGCGTAAAATTGGGTAGCTGTGTATATTTAATTATGTATTGAATTATCATTATGTACACATTTATGTATTAGATTGTGCATTAAACTGTGTAGTATTACTATATTCGCTCGGTTTAACAAAACTGTGGAAATTAATGTGATAAATTTGACTTACCCGCTACAAAACTCCCCTGCTTCTGTATACGATTTCACAGTTACATCCTCGAATAAATAACAGCTATTGCCGATATGTTTCCAACCTAAATACAAAATTGGTGCAAATCAACCGCAATAGTAAACATTTAGTTGATGAAAGAGGTTATTCGCAACCACAGAAGGGTTATTGGTAGGATTGGGCAACTTTTAGTGGGACAATCTATATACTAGACAAGCACAAGGGTTAAGTTTAAGAATTTGAGACGGATTAATAGAAGCTTTATAGCTTGTTTCTGAAGACAAATAATTTATTATGTATTGTATATATACTAAGCAGCAAACGAAACGCCAGGTTGGTATGTTACTCTGAATAAACGCATTGCATAAAACTTGTCAAATGTTTTTATTGTATATTTGTGACCACATCTCCAACTTTACCTGAGCAATAAGGCTCCTTCCCAAACACAGAATTGAACCCAGGAAATGTTCTCAAAAACGCAACCTGACTTCTGAGATGGTAATGTGTTCTCCATGTTCACCGGGACCAGCCCTATAAAATACACCCCCATACCCGGTTGAATCATTCACACTTCAACGTCAGCAGCATGCCACAACTCACGACAGCTCAGAAGAATCAGGCGCGTGGAAGACTCGACCTCGACACTGGCCACACTGCCCAAGCCATTGCCAATCACTTCCAGGTCAATGTTCGGACCATCTACAGTATTCAGCAACGCTTTCGGGCCACAGACACCACGGAGGATCGCCCCCCCCCCCCCCCAGCTGGTAGACCAAGGATTACCACAAGGCGACAAGACCGCCATGTTGTGCGACAGCACGTGAAGAATCCCTTCACACAGGCAGACAGTGAGAACACACGGAAGACCCATCGGTATCGATACAGTGCGCCGACGTCTCACCAAAGAGAACATCCATTGCCGTAGACCTTACCGTTGACCGATCCTCACCCCTTGCCATCGACGTGGACGCCTACAGTTTGCCAAACAACACCAGGACTGGCGACACATGGTTTGGGGGTGGAATCGGAATGAACCAGGGAGTGGGTCCTGTGGTGTTCCAAAATCTTGGTCCAGGGAGAGGAACCGGCATCACAGCAGTGAGCTACATTGATCAAATTCTCAGACCCCACGTCATACCACATTTCGCACGTCATCGAAACAATGTTTTCCAGCATGACAACGCCCGTGCCCACACCGCAAGAGGGACTTTCTACGGCAGAACGGTGTCAAAGTCAAACGCGATTGAACATCTTTGGGATGAAATTCAGATGAGACTTAATAGCGTAGTACCGAGACAAACACAGTCGATGGATTGCGCCAGGCTTTTCTGAGAGTGTGGCTCCAGGTGCCAATGGCGTTCATCATTCGTCTGGTCCACTCCATATACAGACGCTGCGCTGCTGTTATTGACACTCGCGGTTGACACACCAGATACTGATGTATAGACTGTGTACTGACTATAAATCTTCTCGTAATGTCTTGAAATTGTGATGAATTAATCACTAATGTGTCAACATACTGTTCACAAAAAATTGCTTTGATCCATTTAGTAAGTCCTTTTCTAGAATTATTTGATTAAAGTGCCTCTCTGATTTTGAAATCGTACTGACGTTTTGTTTTTGTTTGCTGTTTAGTATCTATAGTATGTTATTTTATGTTTTAACAATAAATACTGTTTAAATCAAGTTTAAAAAAACTGGCGGATGATTTATATTATAGAGAATTCCCTATATTATAGAATACACATTTTGTACACAAGTATGCTTATTTCCGATAATATATATCAAACTGATATCTTTGATATAAACATATAGATGTATATACAGCTTTTAATGTTTTAAAATGATTACCTGTTCGGCAAGGTGTTGTGGCATAATCTGTAAATATTAATAAGCAGTCATTTAGTAGTAGCATTTAAAGTCATAAATTTCACAAACATTATTCAATTGACATCCCATACCCATATTCTTATTTTTAAAATGACAACATTTCAGATTCATATTCTTATCAAACGGACACAAGTATTACGAGTTTAAACAATTTCACTCTTCACTGATTTACCGGCCCTTGCCGCAAGAGGGAAGTGTCCAAAATGTATTGTCTAAAACACTGGAGGACAGTAATTAGATAATGCCTAATGGGGAGCAAGCTGTGTCATTTGTTAGTGAGATACCCTCCTAAGTTAAAGGTAAAAGAAAATAGAAGTTTATGTTCTTTGTCAATAGGACCCCCCCCCCCTCAATACAGTGGAAGTAATACTTACAGCTATACGCAAGAAGGTAAATCAGAGCAAAATTAACTACTACAGATAACCAATTCTGAATCCTAATTTAATTTGAAAAATTGATTATTCAATCTAATAAACATATATTCCTTATAGTCATCGTTGAGTTTATGAAACATTTTCGACATCTGTTAGAATTAGCCAAGGAATTGGTATCATTTGTCATCTGTATATCAATGAACAATAACTTGCTTTCGAACAATATCACCCAAGTCCATTAATATAGGGTCAAGGGCCGAGTCTTGCGGTACACCATATTGTAAAACTTAATTCAGAAAGACAATGACTATGTACAACAATACCCTGTGTCCTAATAAAATAACCTTCTAAAAGTTTCGGTACTCAAAACTAAGTCAAAGACGGTTTAATTGAATATAATGATCAATGGTATCAAAAGATGCTACAAAATACATTAGCATTTTAAATAATAATAATAGGGTTATCGAGTGAAAGTAAAATATCATTAAAGAGAAACTGTCTATTCATGACTGTGTTAAACATCTGACACCAATGTTCTTATCATGTCTCTATATTTCTTCCTTTCTTATTGTTTTTATAGTTATATGGAAGTAGACTTACCGAAAAGACAAATAGCTCCATTTTTGCTGCCTGACGTCCTGCTTATTGGGTTGTAATAATTGTCGAACTGCATCTCTAAAAACAGTTTGGCAAAATACTATTAAAGGTCCAGCAATAGTTAATTGGCTACGGGAGCAAAGCTGTGAAGTGGTAACGTATTCATTTTAACGTTAAATCTCCAAGAACAACATTTTTTGTAACATAGAATATTAGTGGAAGTACATATCTCAAGGCTTAACCACGGGGGAACGCATTCGCAATCATCTGCACGTGATACGAATTCTTATTCCTAATATTAAGTATTTCTACCAGTAATAGCAGTATCACAACAGTAGTAAAATACACCGAAAAGTACTTCTGGCAATAGTGAAACAGTAGCAAAGTAACATGTATTACTTTAGAGGGCCTTGCTACATTGGAAATATCATAGTTAAAAAGGGAGCCGCGGTGGCTCAGTAAGGCGTTGGCTCGTTAACCTGGAGCCCCCCAGGTTCCATCCCCGGTGTTGGCCGAGAAGGTCCATGGGATTTTTCGGCGTGGTGCCCCCCTTGACGTTCTGGTAAATTAACATTGAGTGTTGGACTTCCAAATAAGAGTAGTCTGTAGCGTTGCTGTCCAGGCGAAATTTTCTCTTTAGTACATTACAAGGTGTATACAATCCTTCATTAGTTTAAATGTCTACATACCCATGAAAGTTTTCGAACTGTCACCTACTTCATCAACCCAATAATCTTTCTTTGTTTCTCCAAATCTATAAATATGACTTCTTATTTCACGCTGCAAACATTCAAAGACAATAAATATATATTTAAAAGTGGAAAAAGTTATTTTTATCGAATTTTATATTTGACTAGCAGGATACCCGGCTTCGCTCGGGGGTCATAACTCCGAAACCGGAAGTGGTAGACTAACGCCACCTGGCTTATGTTACTCCCCGGTCCGAGCTACCCCTATACCCCAAATTTCAGACTCGGGGCAGACCTAGTGTAGCCGCCAACCCCGAACAGACAGACAGACAGACAAACAGACAGACAAACGACATTCACAAATATTAGTATAGAAGATTGATAGATAAAGTCTTGGATTACGATAAACAATTTCACCAGTTTAAACCCCGATAAAATAAATGCCCCGTAAGAAAAGGTTGGTTCAACTTGAAATATTTATGCGTAATCTATGCTACTTACTTGGCTGCCAAGATCGGGTATTGGTGCCAAAATTCCTCCCATTTTATAGCAGAGATATTTCGATTTGATATAACTGTCAGACTTGTTGATTACAGCATAACATTTCCCTCCACTTCCTATACGATATCCGGCATTGTTTGTTCCACATGGTTGTGGCACTGGAAATATAAGAATAAAACAATCTGTTTAATGAAAATAATCTAAAATCTACTTCTCCGATCTACAAACTTCCAATTACGTGTATCCTGGGTGTATCTTTAAATGAAATACTAGTATCCCGGATGTTTCGATGTCTCTTTAGATGAAATACTAGTATCCTGGGTGTATCTTTAGATGAAATATTAGTATCCCAGATGTTTCGATGTATCTATAGATCAAATACTAGTATCTCGGATGTTTCGATGTCTCTTTAGATGAAATACTAGTATCCTGGGTGTATCTTTAGATGAAATACTAGTATCCCGGATGTTTAGACGTATCTTTTAATCACTTATTGTACTTAAGATCACAGGTATGAGAAGATATGTACCAATTATTTAAACCACCTCACCAACCTACCTTTGTCAGAATCAAATGTGTGACAAGTCTGAGTCAGCTCGGGAGCTGTAATCAGCAGTTCCGCTGGATCAACAGCACCACGTCCCTGTAAACACACGTCTTCAAATATTTATAAATTTCTACAAAGAATGCTTTCAAGAATATTATGGCAATATTAAAACAGTATTGCCTTATATATTTAAGCACCCTCGGTTAACAGCGATTCTTTAACTGCTCTAAAATCGAAAGTCCGATTCATGCATTTAAAAGGGAGACCACTCTTTACAGTTTTAAATGATTTATATTATTTCCATCTTATCTTTAAGCATATTATATATTGATTAATCACGTGGGTAGTCAATTTAAATTTGGAAACTTTTGTAATGGGGACAGGCCTACTCTCCATCGCATTACTACTGCCAGGGATTCAATCAGCGCACAAGTTTAGTGTCGAGTGGACCTCGGTTTTGCCTCCCCATCCGAACGAAAAGACGATGTTACTTTCCAGGTCCGCCCATCCTCCGCCTATGACAAGGGGTAAGTAGGCTGAAATATCACGAGACCACTTGGTTAGTCTACAGGGCCATACACAATAGAGCAATCGTGGCCCCGTTTGGATTTACAATCTTCTTCAACGTGGTATTCAAAATGACACCAAATTCGTACAAAACACAATTTTTAAGATACACTCTAAAAAACGTTTCAACAATGGGTGTAAAATATATGTCATCTTGTCAGACATTAGCAACGTTTTGCCAGTAGTCGATTGTGGAAGAGATAAAGTGGATAATTACATCAATCTCAGCTGGTACACAAGGTGTTGATGGCGGAGTTATTGGATCCTGAAATAAACAACATTAATTTTGTTATTAAAAACTTTACTAAAGTAGTAAAGAACTGGACCAGCGATTAGACCACAGGATAGTGTCACTGGTTTATGTAGCTGCTTTGACATTGTGTATCTTTGTTTATTTGGGCGCTGAAGCTATGGTACCCTTGCAACTGAAATGGGGTTTAACGTCCTGTTGTTCTGCACCGACTTGGCTAATGAAGGTGGACATACTCCATAAAGTGTGCTATGAGGCAAATGTTGCTCGGACTGCGGCGCTTCGGCCTACTCTTACATCGAATTCCAACTGTCCCTGGATCTTTTACGTTTAAGCCAATGTGTACCCGGTCCTCGGGGTTTTGTACTATCCAAAGGACTTCTCAGGCCCTCCATCCTGCACCACTGACAAAGGGAAACCATGCTGGAAAATCCTGATGAACTTTCGTGGCCGACACCGGGAGAGAACCCGCGACCTCGAGAAAGGCGAGCCAACCATCGTGGCTCTCGGAATACTGCTGCGTGCTTTCTGTTTGGCCGCTGAGGGGCATAATAGTGTCACATCGTTTGTCTGGAGCTGTACGATAGTATTACATGTTTACATAATTAAAACCTACCGGCGATTTGGGAGTAACTTTATACGGTCCATTGACGTAGGCGTCTTTGAAACAATCTATAGGATCGGTACCACCATCATTACGTTTAATTCGTATGCTTGGACATTTGGAAGCAGGACACTCTTCCTCGGAATTTTGTCTTGCTTCTGTTCCATCAAACCGGAGGAAAAATAACCTAAAATATTGTATGAAACATTGTGAATATTAGTATTAAAGTCAAAATTAGTAAACAGTCTTCGCTCCTTGAAATATCGTCTAAATAGGAAATCGCTACACACCCTATATTCTTCCTTCATTCTGTCACACTTTGATTATGCCGATGTTATCTGCGACGGGTGCACTGACTACTTATGTAATAATCTTGAATAGCTTCAGCTTGACGCACTACGCACTATTTGTGGGGCAGTTAAGGGTACTAGCCATGCTTCCCTCTACGCAGAAACTGGGTTTATTCCACTCAAAGAAAGACGAAATCGACATAAATTAAAACTACTTTACAAAATCATCAATAACCTAACCCCTCCTTATCTTAAGAATCTCATAAATCTAGAACCTGCAAACAAATATTCCCTTCGTAACGAAGACAAATTAAAAGTAACTCGCTGTCGTACTGAAATTTTTGCTATATCATTTATCCCATCCAGTATAAGGGAATGGAATAAACTCAGTACCCCTGCGAGGAATTCTAGATCTCTTAAAATTTTCTCCGATCATCTATCGAAATCTGATATCAAAGTTCCTTCGATTTATTATAACGGTCAGCGGAAACCTCAAATAATCCATTGTAAATTACGACTTCGTTGCTCTGACCTGCAGGGTCACAAATTCCTACGACATATTGCCAACAGTCCCGCATGCCTCTACGGTCATATATTTGAAGATCCCGATCATTACCTCCTGCGATGTTCCTTACATTCAATTGCACGAACAGAAACCATAGACAAATTACAACATGATTTTAAAAATATAAACTGTCTGTTATTCGGCTCAACAGCCTACAATCTTGATGTTAATTCTAATATTTTTATTCAGGTCCATAAATTTATAAATATATCAAACAGATTCTAATCTCATCTCGATCAAATAATATTTTATCTTCTCTTTTATGTATGTATAGTCTCTCTAATGCTGATTATTATTACAAGATTCTTACTGTGGTTGCATATGTATAATTATTAACTACTCTATATTCTGTACATTCTCATCCATTTTATTATATCTATATAATATGTATGCGTTTGCTAATTTTAACTATGTATATATGTTACAGTTAATATGTATAATCAGGGAATATGTATAATCCCTGAAAATTTCAGTGATTATGTATATTCCCTGATTCACCCAGTGAGTATGTATATTCCCTGAAATTTTCAGGGATTATACATATTCCCTGATAAAAGTCAGCAAATATTATACATATTCCCTGAATGCTTATAAATGAGATACCAACACAGTTTACAGTTGTTTTCTTTATCTATTATATCTTAACAACATGTTACCACATACACAAATGCATGCATCAAACATATGCATGTATGAAACATAGTTTATAATAAATGTTCTTATTTTGATATAATTTTTAACATTATGTGATCAAAGAACTACCTTTAATCATGGCTATTTTAATACGTAGAGAAGGATGAGTTTTCTTACCAATTGGTGCATACCTGAAGTGATCTCTGTTTGTTGTGATGACAATGTTTGCTACTAGTGTTTGTTTAGTGCTTTAAACAATCACTATTGTTAGTGTTTGTTTACATAACAATTAGTGTTGTTGTTAAACTGTTTCATTCTAGATTGTTTGTTTAAAGAAGGGGATTAATGCGTAAACAGGTGTTTTCTGCTTTCATAACATACCATTTACTGCTGCTTAATGAAGTTAATGATATAAAAGACATATCTGTGTGTGGATCCTCATCTTGTCTACGATATCACCTTAGGTGGAAGTGGACGTAAAACCCCAGAAACGAACGAACGTGGATCCTCACACGATATCACCTTAGGTGGAAGTGGACGTAAAACCCCAGAAACGAACGAACGAAAAGTGGATCCTCACTATTTCCAAAATGGATTCAGATAGAGAGGTACAGTTTAGAGATCAACTGTATCAGATGCACACTGTCAACAAGCGCGTCCTCATTCCCAAAGATGATTACCAGAAGATCGTTAGTGAGTTGCTTGATGCTAATTCTTCAAGCAAGAAGTCTCCACACCAGTACTACTTACTAAACAAGTATGAAGTTCTTGAATGTGGTGACGTGAAGAAGCTGATTCGCAAGAGAGATGGTAGTGAAGAACCCTTTTTGTATTAATAATAAATATGTATATACAAATTATCTAGGGAGAGGGGTTTTACATAGGCTAAGCCTGTTCCCCAATCCCATTCAGTCAACCTGAATAAAAAATATGGTTTAAAAAAAAAAAATTAAAGTCACGCTTTCGGTTTTTTTAATTTGTAATGTTACTTGCCAAAATGTACTTCGAAATATAATAATTTGCCTCAAAACAGGTAGGTATGGAAATAAAACTCATAATTTTCGTCTCCCCAATATTTAAGTGGGCCACTGGCCACTGCTTGGATATTAAACGGGCATTATGTAAGATTAGATTAAGAGCTGACAACTCTCGCTATAATAGTTAAAAATAGATAATGAAAACAGAAAATACTGAATATTTCAGCCAAATTGCTTCACTCTGAACCAAGATATGAACGATTCAATTTTCGGCTAGCCTCGATCATCATTACTAATGTTGGTTCTATAATATATATATGTCTCATTCGTATTTATTGATTCGGTTGTTTTAGTGTAACAAGTGTAACCGAAGTTCGGTTATTTGATCCAATTTTTCAACTGACCTACTCAAAATATTTAGCACATTTTCCCAGTATACTGTTTATTTTCTAACTATGCATATGATATACGATGACAAAATAATTTTTAAACTGATATATTGTCGGAAATAGCAAATTCCGCATCGATTATTTTAAAGGGTATTCACACGTTAATGCGGCTTGATCAATAGTTAGTTAATGTCCACTCGACCCAAACTGGGTTATTTCAATAATTGGCTTGCGCGTAGGGGTCTTTAGCAGTGGGAGGAAACCGGAGTACCCGGACAGGTTGGACAGGCGACCCTACTCCTTGTCACATACAACCAGGGAATCGAAACCACACCAGTTGAGGAAATCCACGAGGTTGAACCGACACTACACATTGAAAGTAGATATATATGCCGTTTAGTCTAATCTATGAAAATTGTTCATAGGTACATACCCGCGAGAATTGTCCCAGAAATAAGCTCTACCGGTTGTGTCTGCCTCAAGGTCCGACATACTGTCAACAGATATTGGGAGATTTTTGGTATCAATTGTGGGGTTGCTTCCAGTTATAGTAAAATCGGTAGTTCCTTTTGGAAAACAAAGTGCCAGACGAATATATGATCCACTGAAATAACAATCAGATATGGGAATTTAAAAATATGTTAAAATTAAAGTATCAATGTAAATGTAATGCTATGAGCTCCACTCTATTAAAAGAAATACAAAATGAAATGGAATGGGGTTTAACGTCCTACTGTTCTGTCCCAACTAGGCTAATGAAGCCGGGCATACGTCAATAATATATTGAAGCATTTTGGCAGAAAAAACCAACAAAATGGTTATCATTGAAGAACAAACATCGGCCAATATATGACACGTCACACGTGTGGCAGCTTAACGTATCACTGTAAAGTTATTAAAGAGGTTTGCAGTGAAGTTATATATTGTAGCCTGAACCCTATAGTTATATTCTTAAATTGGGTTACCTCCCATAGTTCAGTAAACAATAAGCGCACTAGCGAAGAAATACAGGTTTGTTTGTTTCTCCCCTCACAGATGTAACCGATTCTTATCTCCTCCACTGCTTGTAACTGTTGTGCTAAATATTATCTTACCCCCTCTACCCCGCATTGTTGTGCTAAACATTATTTTATATTGTCAGAAGGTGTTTGGGTTGATTCACATGAATTACCCCCCCCCCCCCGCCCCCGCCCCGCAGGTTTTGGAGACACATGATGCTAAGGCATCCGCATGAATACATAACAGTATAAAGCAATGCCCACAACGATAGTACTTACATTGCTAAATTATTGACTTTTACGGTTACATCAGTTGGATTGGTACCATTAAACATAGCAACATAGCCTTTGTTTTGCATAGAAAGATACTCTATACTCTTATCACCTGCATAAAAAAATATGATATGTTTATTAAAAACATCGGTTATCGCGTGCACGAGGATTTCAAAACGGGGGGGGGGGTGTATATCAACGGAAATTTGAGGAATATTGATTTCTCGTAACCCCAATTCTTCACACTAAATTGGAAAAACATCCATATAAACCAACTGTTGACGAACCGACGGGCCGAAAGGGTGATGGCATGATAAGAAACTCAAATATGGGCGAATACAAGTGTTGGTCTTTTAGCAATAAGAAAGGGTATGTCATAAGTTTTATTTATTGCTTTAGTCAAAACAGAAATGAAATGAAATGGGGTTTAACGTCCTTCTGTTCTGCTCCGATTACTCTAATGAAGACGGACATACGCTATGCGGGGAAATTTTTCCCAGGCAGCGACACTATGTCCTACTCTTATATCGAATTCCAACTGTCAAGGGATCTTTAACGTAGGAAAATCCCGATGAACTTTTTCGGGCAAAGCAGGGATCGAACATGCGACCTCTAGGCTAGCTAGCCAGCGCGTCTTACCCTCTCAGGCACTGTGGCTCCTAGTCAAGACAATATTCTACTTACAAAACACAAATTTTTCTTACCACGTAGAGCAAACGGACTGTCAGTTACATCATCTCTTACCATATACATTGGGTAATCAGTGCGTTTTGGCGACTTGAATACCCCATCGGAACCTTTAAAGAGTATCTGAATAATTTTAAATAAATGAAATTTAATGTAACAATATCAAAATGATTATCTGTGATAATTTTTAAATTGAAAGAGGCTATTCGAAACCGCACTAGGGTTTAGGTCGGGTTAGGTTGCCAAGATAGTATGACCAACCAACGCTCAATTTCAACCTAGTTTAGAAAGCAATGTCTTTTCGTGCATGGGGGTAGGGTGGGGGTGGTTAGCACGTGTGTGCTGTATCATAAGGCCTGTCATTGAGTCAACTGGCGTGGTTTCGAATCCCAGATTGTACGTGACAAGGAGTAGGGTCGCCTGTCCAACCTCGTGGGTTTTCTCCGGGTCCTCCTGGTTCCTCCCACTGCTAAAGACCCCTACGCGCATGCGAATTATAGAAATAAAATTGAACCATGCGTTAGTCCCGAAATGACCTAGTACATGTCGAGTGGACGTTAAGCTCCATTTCTCTCTCTCACTTTTCGTGCACAAAAACTCTTTATATCTAAAGGATTTCATACCAAGGTCACACATGCTGCTGCGGAGCCCCACAGTTTGTAGGTTCTATACTTGTTTTCATTCATTCATTAAAGATACATCTGAAGCCTAAATTAAGACTTGCAATAATCAGATTTAGCTCTTGCATAATGCATGTTTAATTCATTGAAGCCTTACCTTTGAATATTCATGAGGACAAACAGACATCTGATAATTTTGGTTATAGTAACAATCATAATCCAAGAAAAATGGCGTTTTTCTCACGAACTGTACGTTTGCTATACCAGAGATGGAACCATCATAATCTCTAAAACATGCTTGACGAAAGCCATCTTTTGGTTGATCGAAGAATGGCATGGAACTATTTCCTGCAAACACTTTTAGTCCGTCAACCTGTAACAACAAATTATTTAATGATATCTTCTTACTCCTGGCTTCTTTAAATATCATCCAATAATCATATATATATAGAGAGAGAAATGGGGTTTAACGTCCACTCGACACAAACATGGTTCAATTTTATTTCAATAATTCGCTTGAGCGTAGGGGTCTTTAGCAGGGGGAGGAAACCGGAGGACCCGGAGAAAACCCACGAGATTGGACAGGCGGCCCTACTCATTGTTACGAAAACCGGGGAATCGAAACCCCGCCAGTTGACTCAATGACAGACCGTATGATACAGCGCGCGCACGTGCTAACCATTCAGCCATCCCCCCCGCAATAATCATATAAAAGACACGCAAATGAAATGAAATGGAGTTTAACGTCCTACTGTTCTGCTCTTCTGCTCCGAACTGGGCTAATGAAGACGGGCATACGCGATACAAGGTGCTATGGGGGAAATTTCGCCCGGACAGCGGCAGTACGACCTACTCTTATATCGAATTCCAACTGTCAAAGGATATTTTATGTGCACGCCAATGTGTACACGGGTCTCGGTTTTTCGTCCCATCCGAACGACTAGACAGCTGTCCGTGCCAGGTCCCCGTCCTGCATCACTGACAAGGGAGAACCACACCGGAAAATCTAGATGAACTTTCTCGGTCAATGCAGGGATCGAACACCCGACCTCCAGGCTAGCGAACCAGCGTCCATAAAAGACACGCAGGACTACAACAAAATATTGTCTGCGATATCACCTCGGTGGAAGCGGACGTAAAATACAACTAACTAACAACAACAACAAAATAGTTAGACCAAGAACGGATACCCAACCTTTATACGTCAACCATTTTTAATTTAACGCCTTTAATTTATATCTGCGGGTTGGCTGGAATAAAATCATATTTAAAATACAAGATAAACATAGATCAGGATCAGTTAATGGTAATGAAGTCCGTGCGGCTAATGGTCGTAATTTATTGATGTTAAAGGGTTTATGACTCTTCTTGGGATCTTACCGTCTTCATTAACAGTGTTGGAGCAGAACAGCAGGACGTTAAACCCCATTTCATTTCATTTCATTTCTTTGTGACTTAATATTTTAGAATTGAGTTTAACTCTTCACAGGTTCTTTATGAGTTCCCCATCTTAATTAGCTCAGTCGGAACAGAACAGTAGGACGTTAAAACCCATTTCATTTTATGTCACTTCATTATGAGTTAACAAGAATTAAGTTTAATTAAAGATATATTAATTATACGATCGTGTTTCCTCTAAAGATCTCCATTCCCAAACCTGATCTTGTATTTATCACACTGGCTATAAACACGTATAACTCAGCATTTCAATGAAATGAAATGAGGTTTAACGTCCTAATTTTCTGCATAGACAGACATACCGTGTCACAGAATCCAAAAACAACTCCTTCTACACCATTCTGTGGTAGGGACGGGTAGGGTAAATTTGTATTAAACCCTAGCGCTGCTGCTCGTCTTGTGGCATCTAAACCATATTCTGTCTCCCACGTACTATTCCACGTCCAATGATTAAACTTATCAAAATATGTGTTTTTCACGAGAATAACCCCAAAAATGAATTCGACACCAACCAATGGTAAATTACTGTAAATATAAATATACATTTTAGTAAGGGATATGTAAATAAAATGAACAGTTACGAAAATCGTCATATGTAGAATTTTACTTAATTCTCATTGTAACCTGGTTTTAGCCCCATACAAACCAAATCACCACTGTAGTCATCCTTTTTGCTTCTTCTCTGGTGGACAGTTCCTATATGAACGAAACGATATTTTGTTTCATTAGTATCGCAGCAATTTTGTATTCAACGGTGATTATTCTAGAAAAAACGGAAATTGTCATTATAACCGTTCTACTTACGGCAAGAAACGTGCAAAAGAACGTTCGAAGTTATGTGTGTGTCCATCCTTTCTATACTTTAATGGCAATCCAAGATTATCTGTTACGCCAATAATGACACTGTTTCGTACTTCTTGTGCAGTGTCCAATACACTTCTTGTCATAGCAACACCAACTGGGGCATCTGCAATACTATATAAACAAAACTTAACATTAACTAATACTTTGCAGTCTATGATCGCCCCCCCCCCCCAAAAAAAAATGGATCTTATACATAAAGAAACAAATTACAAGCCACCCCACAGGAAACGTAATGGCCTTGATTGATTTTTTTAAAATTATACCCATATAATGTCAAATCAGTTAATCGAATAAAAGACATTCTATGAAATTCGCTAAATGGAAATATATGCTATCCAGACGAAACTTTAAAAAATAACTCAATCCCGATATAGAATAAACTAATTCTGAATAGATAATATTAATTTGATCTGATCTAATTAAATAATAAAGTTGTCTTCCTTTCAAGTATGAGATTCTAATTATGATTCAAGATCCAAAAATATTTCAAATCTGACTGGAATCTTCTAACAAGAACGTAGCCCACGCGATTCCGTAGAGAATATCAATTATAAGAATAAAGCTGCTGAGGGTAAAACGTCCATTGTAGGCGTTTCTAATGCCAGCGATTCATAATAACAGCCCGTCTTCAATAGCCCAGCATAGGAGCAGAACAGTAGGACGTTAAACCCCATTTCATTTCATTTCATAATAACACATTAACATACTAATTACTATTTGTAACTCTTGGAGTTGACGACATCGTTGCTAAATCTACTGGCTAGTAAGAAAATGTGAACATTTGGTTCCTTTAATCATATTTTTTGATAATATAGCGCCAACAATTAAACTCAGCGAGCCGCTCTCGTACGCTTTACCTAAGTACAACTAATATAAAATTACAACACATTAATCCATAAAAGAAAGACATAAACAAAAAATGGAGAGCATTATTTAGTACACATGGTAACAGTCTGACCCAAACACGGCCAGAACCGTATTCAATCAGTTGTATATTTGATTAAAAAGTTCCGTTTTGAGATACTTGATCATCCAATTTCATTTTGTGAGTCTACTTTTACCGCGCGTAAGAAATAATATGTGTGTGTGTGTGTTACAAGGATGATCATTTAATTAACCTCGAAGAATTATATCTTTGATTTGTTATTTAGTGGAATGTTTATTTTGTTTTAAAGGATCTAAACCTCTAACACAATACTATGCTATTTGAAATAAAATTAAACATTTTATATTGGTTCATTTCAATCAATATTGATGTAGCCATCTTACATTGGAAATATTGGATAATTTTAAAATTAGTACATGATGTCATGTATTCTATGGTTTCGGGCGCCATTTGTAATGAACATATCCCACAAGACAATACGGAAGTAATTTAAAAGGTTCCACAGAATAGCGCTATACGCCCTTTAACGATTATAATTATGATAGAATTACTTACCTTGCGTGATCGTAGACAATTTTACCTCCCTTTGACCAAATATTTTCTCCTTTGTTTCTATAAACTGTTAGCCTGAAAGAAAGACGTGTTGTTATTCGAACCCTGGCATCGAAACCACTCATGTCTCCTTAACTCCACCTAAACTTCTTTCGATAATATTAAGTAGGCTTAAGCCCTGGCAATAGTTATTTATATATGTATGTATTTGGAACATAAATACACACATAACGGGGACGAGTTTGACAACTTTGAGATAATATTTACACGTAATCAACCAGGCATTGTGGAACTGGGCTAAGGTTACATGCTTGAGGCATATGTTTAAACGTAATACTGATGATTATCTAAATGAATTATTCAGTTTATGATAATTAACTCGGGGTATAAATTTAGTAAAATTGAGAATAAATCGTGCATGATAGGTTCAACGAAGATTGACAACATTTCCATTATAACGGTTTTAAGAATAACTGGTGGAGTTTTAAAACTCATTACGGCTCTATTTTAATAAATATCCATTATGGGAGATAAGATAAAGAGCATACAGTTCAAAACTTGATAAAGTAAAGGCAATTTGCTGAAAATTTCAGTCAAATTGATCCACTATGAACCGAGAATTAAGCGATTGAAATTTCGGCCTAGCCTCGATCATCATTACTCAAATCTTTACGATAAAAAACATAGTCTGAGCATCCATTTCATGATTAGTGTTTTATTATGAATGTCATAAATGTCCCTTACATTTTTCATGAAAATGTTTTTTGTTCAATAGATGATGAATGTCAGAATCGTGGAAATTTCTGATTTGCGCTACAATAGTGATTTGACATCCGGATCAAATTTCATGACTCACTGAGCCACCGTGGCTACCCCCCCCCCCCCCTCCAACCACACCGGGAAGTGTTGAGCTCCGTGATTTGTGTACAAACGACCCCCAATAATCAGCCACATGTATCAACATTTTATTTAGCATGTTTCTGATAAGTAACATGTCCAATACCTTTTAATAATGCTTTCAGCTCGTGGTGATTTTTTATCTGGTACTTCCCTCGGATCGTATCTACTATTGGCAATAAGTCCATTCTCTGGTACCACTTCGCCAGTACTGTCATCGACTTGTCCAGTAGATATCAACCTATCAAACATCATACCACGCTGTAAAACATATGCTTTTACATAACATCCTATCAAACATCATACACACTGTAAAATATAGACTATTACGGGTAAACATAGGCTATGACAGGTAAACATGGTGGTAAAAACTAATGGTCTTACATGTAAACATATAGGATATTACAGGTAAACATAGGCTTTTACATGTAAACCTCTTACATGACAGTCTATGAAACACCATAACACACATATTCCTGAAGCAATGGCCGGAGAAATCCCTCTCTGGCCATTGCTGGATTAGCTTCTGAAACTTGCGCTTTTGAGGGAGTGTGTCTATTCTTCCCGTTCAATCAAATCTATCCAAAAGAACAGCAACATGATACCCCTTCGTTTAATCAGGGGTCTTCCCTAAAACTTTGGACAGTGATTTAAGGTATTAAAAACGGTGAAAGTGTTGTTCGTCTCAAAACAATATTGTTTACATTATATCCACAGAGTAAAAATCGTGTTGACAGTTGATAGCCTTGTTTGTCACACAATTAGTTTTTCTGCAATGTTCTGCTATGCACTGGTTAATTGGGCATAATAAAATCGTGAGTCATGACGTAACGTTATGTAAACATATTTGGTCCAATTTGGAGCTCTGTTTGGTATTGTTACGCAGTAAGCTATTGGTTGTTAATCGGACTATTGACCAGTCATAATTTAGAACAAGAATTTGCTTTGTTTACAGCAGTGAGTAGTGGGATTAGCTCTAATCAAACGAAACATTGCGAGGAGTATGCATAAAACACTGTCAAATATAGACTACTAAGGGTAAACATAGCCTATTACAGGTAATCATAGTGGTAAAAACTAATGGCCTCGCATGTAAACATATAGGATATTACAGGTAAACATAGGCTTTTACATGCAAACCTCTTACATAACATCATATCAAACATCATAACACACTGTAAATTATAGAGTATTACGGGTAAACATAGGCCGTTTACAGGTAAACATAGGCTACAAAAGGGGGTGTAATGTTCAAATATAAAGGACTTCAATAATTCCACAAAACTTACATCTTGGTTTGAATGCGCAACATTTCGATCAAATAGCGCAATTTTAGACAGTCTTGCTTGATCTTCAAACACCAGTCCTCGTTCTGCTTGACGTGCAGCTGATGTCGTTAGAGGCTTTTTAGAAAATAGTATATGAAAACCATTTCTCTAGAAACAAAAAAGGTTAATTCAATTAAGCAAAGTTTTTTTTCGAGCTTGAACCTGTGCGCAGTGCACCAAGTTTTCATTTTATTGGGAAAACAAAAACCATTTCGGGTTAATTCCAATATGAATCAATTATTCAGACCGTCAGATTGTATATTATTTAGTGTAACGGCCGATAAGCAAAAATATCTTAACGTAACAAGAAAATACTTAATTCTGATTATACTTAAATAAGTATCTAATTATGTTACTTAGTAATCTTGTTTAGTATAAATAAAAAAATAACTGACATCGAAACGTAACAAGAAAATACTTAATTCTGATTATACTTAAATAATATCTAATTATTTTACTTAGCAATCTTGTGTAGTATAAATAAATAATATTCACCTCAGCACCGGCTGCAACATTATTTGTTATTATGTTGTTAGGATGTGTTATCCAGTAGGTAGCTGGATGACTGGAAATAGTTAGTTAGTTATAGTTTATTACCATCATAATACAGTATATATATATATATCGAATAATGTGAAGTGAGAATTAAAACTGATACATGTACATGCTAAATATATCATGAAAGTTTTTACCAAATTTAAATATGAAACAAGATGGGTATAATAGCTGTGAATATAGCACAAATACAAGTGATAATGTTAACTGATTTAACTAATTAAAAACTCTAGGTGGGGTTCAAATATGTTGATAAGTCTGGTTTTGATAGAAAGATGATTATTTTAACTGAATTTTCTCAAGCACTGACGGACACATCTAGTTACATCATAGACACGGTTGTTAAGGAAAACAGATTTTAAACTGGGAAAGTCTAACTCTGGATAGTCGGCACGAACATCGTCACATATCGGTCATTCACAAATCACATGTTTTTCAGTTTGAATTGCACCACAAAGACACAAGCGACTTTCTTTAGGGATGTTAGACCAACGTCCTTTTTCAATAGCTAGGTCATGAGACGAGAGTCTTAACCTTGTAGATGCTATACGATCGTGTTCTGGAATATTTTCGCTGTACATTTGGGGAAATAAAATACAATCCAATATTACTGTTGTTTACATGGGCGGTCTATATTGATAACAAACAACCATATTCTTATCCCTGGACCACCCAGCACCCTTCTCATATTTACTATTTCCCATAATTCATTCTCGAATACCAGTAAAGACAATTTAATTGTTTACGTGATCTAGAACACAGAAAATGTCAGATTCTAATGGCGTATGAAAATGAAATGGAACGGGGCTTGACGTCCTACTGTTCTGTCCCGACTGGGCTATTGAAGACGGGCAAAAGTCATGCACTGTGCTACGAGGGAAATTTTATCCGGACATTGGCAATATGGCTAACTTTTATATCAAATTCCAACTGTTAATTCATATAAGATCATACACAAGTTTCAAAAACTTCGAGTGACCTTTTCCATACGTACAGTATTGTTATAACATAACACTTTTAAACAAGATACCGAATGAACATGCAGTATTATTTAAATACGTAAATGCTTGTATTAGCTAATAAGGTACACATCTATAAAAAAAATCGAAATTACTCTGCTGGTAGCCCTTTGGCACCTATGATATACAATGCAACCAATAGCTTCGGAAATTGATATCCTGGTTTTAATCATTACTCGAGTTAGCTATAATTAGTGGCGAGTGTCAAACACCAAACTGGATATGGTTACTCATTTTACAACACCCGGTGCATCTCTCATTTAGGTAATTTGCAAAGATAACAAGGTGTACTATTTATATTATTTGTACCAAGTAGGAAGAAATACATATCTCTTTTGTTATTTATCTATTTCAATTATCTTGGTTTTAACACTATATAATCAAACATATTTAAAGTTTGGCATTCAACAGGGTTAAGTACTTGGTCGGCCCCTTTTTAATATCAACACATCTATCTTATTTTATGTTCGTTCATATATGGGGATATTACCACAAGCGGTTTTAAAAATACTGACCCAACTTGTCGCACGGTAGACAACTCAAATAGTAAAACCACTTTCAAAAGTATTGACATCTCTACTAACGGCTGTTAAAGAGGGTGACAAAATATACTCTCGTAGTGGTATAAATCAAATGTGGATATTGAAAAATTCCAAAGAATTACTTGATAGTTTGCAATCTAGATCCCTTGCTTCAGTCTCATCTATTCAAACGTTTGACTTTTCTACTTTGTACACTAAAATTCCCCATAGTAAATTAAAAGCCCGGTTGAAAGACATTATTCACAGTGTCTTTTCGTCTAAATCAGGTACTGCGAGATATCAATATTTAGTTGTAAATTACAATTCCACATATTTCGTTAAGAATCACAGTGATTCCAAAAACAAATTCACGGCCATCAAGATAATTCAGATGTTGGATTCTTTAATTGACAACATCTTTGTTGAATTTGGAGGGGAAATATATCAGCAAGTGGTTGGCATTCCCATGGGCACCAACTGTGCACCTTTGCTTGCTGATCTGTTTCTCTATTCGTACGAAGCCGATTACATACAGACGCTCGTAAAAACTAATAAACGATCAGTCAGACTTTTTAATTTCACTTATCGATATATCGATGACGTTTTATCACTTAATAATCCTAAATTTAGTGATTATGTAGAATTCATATATCCTGATGAGCTCGAAATTAAAAACACCACTGACAGTGACAATTACGCTTCCTACTTGGATCTGCGTCTCGATTTTGACAATTGCCATAAACTGAGTGTTAAATTGTACGATAAACGTGATGACTTTGACTTTCCGATTGTTAACTTTCCATTTATTAGTAGTAACATTCTAATATTACCAGCTTATGGAGTGTTTGTGTCTCAGCTAATTCGTTACGCGAGAGCTTGTTCCTTTTATTCTGATTTTTTAAGTAGATCGAGGCATTTGTCATCTAAGCTTCAACTACAAGGATACTTGCGCGTTAAACTTATTAAAACCTTTAAAAAGTTTTATGGCCGTCATATTGATTTCATTGGTAAATATAACGTGTCTCTCTCGGCTATTATTCTAGATATATTTAATTGACACGTATACTATTACTATCTCCCTGATAATATCTACTACATCGTTAACACAGTTCATCGCGTGCATTTTGCATACCGATAGTTCATTGGCCAATCACGCTATTTTACCGATATTTTGCCTAATAGTTTGGATGCAGCTATGGCGGGTGTGGCGCCAGGCAGGGTAAGCTCACTCTTCCGGACACCTGTTACCACTGTTTGTCGTGTAATTTGTACACGAGGAGCAGTCCATTTGCTGATTACACTATTTTGCTTGAATACACTATTTTGCCTATAACGTTTTTTAGGACATCGAATTCTGTCTTATGGTTTGGATTGTTCGTACTTGGTTTTATTTTATTTCTAGAGAGCACAGGTGTTATTAGAGGGTGCCCATTATATCTATCATTAAAATTAATAGATTAGTATTATGGTATTATGTTAGGTACGTTTAGGACCGTGACCGTCAATGTTTTCGTTATTTACAAACAACAGCACGAATCAACAACATATAATTAATCATGAGATCGTAACAGTACCTGCACGAAGTTTTTAAACCCTTAGGACACCACTCTGGGGCCAGATCTGTCAACAGTTGTGTTCCATATTGAGTTCCTACACCCAGATTACCATCTAAGATGTTTCTCTGTTCAGCACTGTCCTCGAGGAAATATCCATGACCAAGATGATCATAGCATACATTGTCGCTTAACTAATAAGAAAGAAATAATATTCTGATATAGTTTTTCTTCAATCGAACTCTATTACATAATATGTTAAATTATTTACATACAGAGCTAGTTCAGATAGTTTAATACCATCGAATATATTAAATTAAAACTTTTTACCTCGGCACCATCTGTACCGTGTATAGTAATACAACGATTATTACTATTGTGGATACTGATATTACGTAACCAAGATCCATCTACGTCATCACACATATGATAATGGAGAGGGTAGGTACCTGCAATAAAGTAAAAGACAGGGGCTTTGAAAAGCATGCTTGTGGATAACTAAAATGTTTCTTCGTGTTACATTATGTTTCTTTGTAGTTTAAGGAGCTAAACTCAAAATTGAGTATTATCCTTAACCTTCTAAAATCTAATATCCACTATTTACATACTGGTTTGGGGCACCATTTTTGTAATGAACAAAATAAAACATACCCCACAAGACAATGTAAAATTGATTAAATATGGCTGATTCACGAACGGCACAATTTTTAAAAAAAATATTTTGGGGGCATTATACTAAAATATGCAAATGACTACGAAAAAAGTCACTATAGAACCTAACAGAAGACGCCCAAACGCACAAATAGCTACCGCATGGAATGCAGGTGATGCTTGGGATCATCATGGGGGTCCAACCCTAGATTTGCACGACTCTGACTTTGAATGTTACAGTCATTGTGGCATTGAATTCCAGGGTGGAAACATCAGTTTAATTGTTTTAATGACCAGAAAACAAATTTTGATATGCGTCGGCTTACCCAAATTGAAAGGTTACGTGCCCTTGGCATGCTACAGATCGGCACAACACAGGCGGTTGTGGCGCGGACGATGAATGTTTCTCAGTCTGTCATAAGCAGGCTATGGTCCAGATACCGTGATACACAATCTGTACAGGACAGACCACGCTCAGGTCGACCAAGGGCGACAACTCAAGCCCAGGATCGATTTATCCGTACCTTGGCCTTGAGAAATCGTGTCATCACAGCAAATCAGATCAGCGCTCGTCTTCAAACAGACACTAGTGTGAGAGTGAGTGGCCAGACGATTCGGAATCGACTGCATAGGGGTCACCTTCGCGCCCGACGTCCTCGCGTGATCCCTTGTTTGAGAGATCATCACATTCAGGCAAGACGTCGTTGGTGTAGGGATCGTCAACACTGGGATAATCGACGCTGAAGCAATGTGATGTTTTCAGATGAGTCAAGGTTCACTGTTGATTTTGTGGA